TCTGCATCTTGTACAGCAAATAACCACTAGGAAGAATGTATGCAATGTGTTAATTATTGAAACTGTCCTACCAGTTTGATTTGAAACTGTCTCATTGCTATTTGTTTATCAATAAAATTATGGGAAAAATCTAACTCCTCTTTTTTTATTACTATAGTATAGGTGACATATAAATCATCCAGTGCCAAACACTCGCCACTGACAACTTCTACAAAAAGCCAAGAAAAAAATTTCAAAGTTTTTTTTGGGGGGTGCAGAGGAGCAGGATTTCCCTACAAATTGTCAGAAGAACATAAAACCAAGAAACACAATCTAAGCCTCATTCTTAGTAGTTCTAAAAGAAAACAAGCTCTTTTGGAAATGTACTGTCTTAACAGACCTGACTAAAGTGCTGGAGATAGGAACTGGTACTGTGCATTAGAACTAGGAAAATATGACTTGTGTCTACAAATTTGACTATTTATGACTGGTGTACCTTTAAAGGAATCACTTAATTTATATGTTCCTTCACTTCCCCATCTACCATTAGATATAACAAGAGTACTTGCTCCATTGAAAGATTACAAGGTGAGACAAACTATGCCAGGGAATTCCCACCATGTTTACAGTGTACTAACTGTTCAATAAATGCCACGGTTGTTGGTGTGCATCCTATAAAAAAGAAAAAAGAGAGAGAGAGATAACAAAGGCATTTTGAAGCATAGCTGTTATTATACACCTGTTGTTATGGTTTGTGTCTAGTTGTCCCCCCCCGAAGCCTCATGTAGGTCATGGGGCAGAAAGGGCTTGAGGGGCCCGGCCAGAGTACCAGGGTGGAGCTCCAGGGGTGGGGCCAGAGAGGTGTGAAGCATTAAACTGACAGCACACACTGCCCCCACCAGGCCTGCAGTCTCTCTGAGGTATAGAGGTCATCCTGGACAAGGAGGTGCTCCAGGCTCTCCTCCAAACCCTGCAGAGCCTGGCAGCAATTTCCACGATTGAAGCCACCTCAGGTAGAGAGGAGATGTTTGGGGCAGAGGCATTGACCCTCTCTCCTGAGCAAATAAGGCTCCAAGGTCTTGCTACATAATTCAGGCTGTTTTAAACTATGAAACCTCCAGCAACTGTGCGCTAAATAAACCTTTCCTTCCCTCATTTTGAGTGTTGGGTTTTTATTCCAGCAATGGGAGAAGAGTAATTAATACACCTGTGTTAGTTACTTTTCTCATTGCGTAGACAAAATACCCAACACCCAAAGTTAATGGAGAAAAGATTTATTTAACTCACATTTCAGTCCATAGTCAGCTGGCTCCAAAGCAGAGTGGGTTGGCAGAGAGGCATCACAGAGGAAAAACAATTCATGGCAAGCAGAAGACAGCAAAAGCAAGCAACCATAGGAACTTAACAGTATCTTTCTGCCCCTTTTAAGGTGTATCTAAGCCACCAGGATAAGGACAGTGCCAAACCAATCAGGCACTGACTTAGTAATCACACACCCTTAATCTCAGCATCACATATTTTTGATCCAGCCAACTCTGAAAAAGCTCCCACTATAACTGCCTGAGGCCTGGGGGTGGGGGGGGGCGGATCTAGATACATAAGCCATAGCGTTCTGTCTCTGGCCTCCCAAAAATTCATGCACATCCCTTTTTGCCAAACATATTTAGTTCATCTCCAAGTGTCGCCAAAGTCCTAACAGATTCAGCATTGCTTAAAAGTCTAAATCCAAAGTCTCCTCTGAGATTTAAGGCAAACTCTTACCTTCAAGCCCCTATACAAATGAAAAGAAAGTTAAATATGTTCAATAATCAATGACACAAGGAGCAGGGGAGATAGCTCAGTAGAATAAGTGCTTGCCTGGCAAGCCCAAGGGCCTGAGTTCAATCCCTGATTCCACCAAAAAAAAAAAAAAAAAAAATTAAAAAAAAATCAATGGTACAAGATAAACATTATTTTTCCAAAAGGTACACATGGGGGATACAAAGGGATGAGACCAAAGTAGAATCAAAATCCAGCATGGCTTCTTTTTTGAGCCACCTCTGCTCTCTCCTGGTAGTTTTCCCTCAGATGCTCCACATTCTTGGCTTCTCCAAACTTCCAGGATCTCCACTGTACTTTCAGCTTCACATTCACCATTTTACATACTGCCTTCTCAGAAGCACATTGCCTGGCACCACAGGCCTTCTTCTGATCTGAAGGAAAGCCTTACTTTTCCCCAAAATTCTTGCACTCTGCATCTACCTAAAACGAGCACCATGTGGATGATAACAAGGTCAACTGGGGCACTAGCCAGGCGTCTTTCTCTCGGCTGTAGGGATTAAACGCCTATGCACCAAATTCCAAGAAACAACTTTCCTAGGCCACCACCATCTGGAGCATGGTATTGTGGGGCTCTCTTCTCAAAGCACACTCACTTTTTTCCCTGTCAATTTTTACAACCTACTATACTTTTCTGTCCTTGTAATAGTCACCTTTTCTACCACTTAAAATCAGACGCATCTTTCTTAAGAAAGCAGTAATTTCCTATTACTGCTAACAAGTCCTATTTTTCCCTACGACAATAAAATGAGATCTAAAAAATTTTCTTTCTTCTCCGCATCGCCTATATCTCAGGAATTGTTTATCGGGAAGGCAGACGGTTGGTTAAGGAACATTTTCTCCTCAAGAGGATTTCTTCCTCCAGTGTGACCCTCTGGTTACTTCTGGGAAGACTTAACTAAAAAAAATCACACAGAAGTGTTGCAACGGCACCATAACCAAGGACCGAGTTTCGCTAGCATTTCCCTAAGCCTAAGCCTATGGGACACAGAAGGGTGCAATCCGTAAAAAGCAAGCCTCGCCAAACTTGGTCCAAGGGGCATTCGGCCTCGGCCTCAGTCACGAACTACAACTCCCAGGGGCCTCCAAAGAACCCGGCGGCCTGCAATTCAAGCACAAAGGAGTCCTGTACACTTCCTCCCTAGGAGGCGTCCTCCAATGGCTGCAGATAGCGTGGAGACTTCTGGGAAATGCAGTCCTGCTGGCTGCGCAGGCGCGAAGCTGAAGCGGAGGCGGGTGGAAGTGGCGCGGTGCGGCGGTACTCTTGGAATCCTCTGGCCCTGTGAGGTGAGTCTTGTCGGCGGCCCCTGGAGATTCATCTCACTGGCCCTCCTACATTTGTTGGACACTGCATACAGCGGGAGTTCTGCTAGGAAATGGCTTCGCAGGCAGCTCCGCAGGATTGTGCGGACAAGGGTTGGGGTCCCCACTAGCCCGCTACCCTCTGCCTGCGCCGCGTCACGTGCTGGGGAGGGCACTGGGTAAATCTCCTGGCCTTTTCTCTTCTCTAGGGCCCAAGTGGGGAAAGTGAAGAGTGCGAATGGGGTATGGTTAGCACCACAGCTCCTCCTCTGGGCTTTTGGGTGGATACCTGGCAAGGCTGGACACAAGTTCTGCCGGACATTGGCTGTGCCAGAGCATCTCTGAAACACCGGCTGTGTTTGTCCTCGCGCCTCCTTTGTCCTCGGCCAGAAGTACCTCTGACTGCTGCTTTAATGTCCTCAGGATTGTTGCCTTCTTCCCTGTTAGACACCTCACATCATGCTCATAACCGCCGTATGGCAAGGTTCTGCTTCAAATTCCAGAGAATTTGTGTTTTTCTTTTGCTCTAGCACTACCAGAGAATTTTGAGGAGGGGTGACGGGGTCACCTAGAAGGAGTCTTCCTGCCCTGCACCACACACTGAAAGCTAGTCAGCCCTGGGCTTGGAATCTGTGCACGTGCGTTTTGCTTCACACTTGCTTCTTCACAGTGGTCACGTTTCTCTTCACCAGATTGTAAGTTTCTCAAAAGGAGTGATATTAGTGGAGCAGGGAGCAGGGGAGGACTGGAGTAGAAAGAGGGAGTGAAGGGTATTGTTAAAGGTTTGACTATAGCTGCCAAGTATGTGTTTAATGAATGGGGATGGGGGGAGATGATGAAAGATTTCTTCTTGTTACAGGGTGACCCTAAAAGATTGCACCTGATGTGGACTTTATGCAAAGCTGGTCACTGACAGCTCGTGCATAGGAACAAGAGATGATGTTGGAGCCAAAGGAAGAGGAGCAGTCTTCAGAATATGAAACTCAGCTACCAGGGAACCACAGTACCAGTCAAGAGGTCTTCCGCCAGCGCTTTAGACAGCTCTGCTACCAGGAAGTTCCTGGTCCCCGGGAGGCCTTGTGCCAACTACGGGTACTTTGTTGTGAATGGCTGAGGCCAGAGAGCCACACTAAGGAGCAGATCCTGGAGTTATTGGTACTGGAACAATTCCTGACCATCCTGCCAGAGGAGCTCCAGTGGGTGCGGGGACATCACCCTAAGAGTGGAGAAGAGGCCGTGACTGTGCTAGAAGACTTAAAGAAAGGACTTGAACCAGGACTGCAGGTGGGAAGGGGGATTTGATCTGTTGTGGGAACCAGATCAGTGACCTTCAGGCTGGACAGAGGGGCAGCAGTAGGGGAAGTTACCATGGTAGAACAGTTAATATGTGTTTCTGTCTCTTGTCTTTTCTTCCTTCAACCTTTGAATGAGAACAAGACTCTTAACTCCTCTTCCTTCCCCTGTACTAACTCCAAGGAGGCTCTCTTAAAGTCTCCTTGGAAGTGTTGGTCCCGCATAAAATGAGTGGTGCCCGATCACCTGCAGGTTCCAGGACCTGCATGTGGACCTGCACAGGAAGAGCCATGGGAGGAGAAGGCACCTCTGGGACCAGAACAGGCAGCAGGCATCCAGCTCCAACCTCAGGAGATCCAGTTCAAATGTGAATTTCAGGAGACCCAGCCCTTCCCAGAGAGTGGTGAGAAACAGAGTTCTGGGGAGGAAGAGGAAGAAAAGAAAATAAAAGGTACTGACTAGTTCCTTTTAAGGGGCACATATTAGGTGCTTGTATTTGCTATAATCACTATGGTCTTTTCATACCACTTAGGTGAGTTAGTCTGTCTCATCACCCTAAAATTAGAAATAAGAATAAGCTACCATAGGGTTAGAAGTGTAACTCAGTAGTTTAGCATATGAGAGCTCCTAGATTCAGTCACTAACACCACCACCACCTCTCCCCCTCCAAAAAGAATAACTTATCTTATAAGATAGTTCTCTGAATATAAAGGTTGACTAGTATCTTAGTTTTAGGGAGCCCTAAAGAAGGACCATAAAATGTTTATTCACTTGGAACTTTTTTATCTCTATTACTTTTGATACATAGTCCATAATAATTCTGCCTGGAACTAGAGATCAGCCTTGAAATATTTTCCTTTTAGCTTCCTCATGCTCTCTAAAACATAGTTTTTAAAAAAATTTATGAAGCTCTCCTGTGAGAGAAACACAATCCATCGTCTTTATCTACCACCTTCCCTCGCTCCCATCTTAAACCTTTATGTCTGTACTTACCTCCTACTCTTCAGATTAACTATGGAAACATCCGCCTTACCTGTATGTATCTCCTAAACATTCACTTCTCCTACAAAAGGCTGTATTCAGTGGAGGAGGGGATGGGAGGGGGCTCTGTTATTCCTTTTAAAGGAACAGATCAAAAAGAAAGGTAAAGCACAGCAGATAGATGGCAGGGAGCTGAGTTCTCTGAGGAGCCTGGTGCATGGTGATCCTCTTCAGCGTCTGGAGACTTATAAGGAAGGGACATAAATGAGAAGGGGTGAAGGTTACAGAGCCAGGAGTTTCACCTTTAGAACATCCCTTTTCCTAATCCTAATGATCTTACTTTTCCCTTGCTTTCCAACATCAGTTAACCATTCCCCAGTTGCTTGAAAATACTTTTTATTATTTTTTAGGAGTGAATTCTTAGAAGCCTATGCTTTGAAAGTTACTTTGTCTTTTAAATACATTTTTAAAGAATTCTACTGTGAGGGCCGGCCAAATAAATAGCTCAGCAGATTAAAGCGCCTGCAAGCAGGCACAGAGGGCAGGGGTTTGATCTCTGGGCCTGTTATGCCGGCCCCACCCCTGAGGTGTGCTGAGACAGCAATTGAGACTGGGCGTGGTGGTTCGTGCCTGTAATCCCAGCTCTTCGGAGGCTGTAAACAGGCGGATTGCTATGAGTCAGATCTAGTAGTGAGACACCGAACACCCTGTAAACCCTTCCCTAAAATACAAAAAAAAAAAAGAATTGTACTGTGGAATACTTAAAAAACTATGTAAGCATGAAGATAGAGAAAAAAAGAAAAGAAACCTCTGTGCAATCTCCCCTACCCAATCTCATCACCAAGAGACTAACCATTCATAATATCTAAGTAAATATCCTTCCAGTCTTTGTCACACATATATATATATAATATATATATTATAATATATATATAATACTTTTAAGGGTTTTTTTCATCTTAGATATGTAAATCCTAATCCAAATGTTGTTTCTCCATACACTCAGAACAGGTACACTTAGATTTTCCATCGGTTGTTGCAGAAGATCTTCCAGAACTCAAGGAAGAAGAATCACTGTCACAGCCACCCATTACTGAAGTGGAATCACACATATTCTTGGAAAACCTTACCACTGACACCTCAACATTTGAAGCTACCTCAGAAGTTGAAGGCACCTTAGAACAGCAGCAAAGAAATCCCAAAATGAAAAGACCAAGGCCATCCCCTGCTCAGGAAAAAAGTCTCGGACAGATGGTTGTCACCCATAAGAAAACTCCTACAGGCAAGAAAGACCATGAATGCAGTGAATGTGGGAAAGCTTTCATTTATAATTCACATCTTGTAATCCACCAGAGAATTCATTCTGGAGAGAAACCCTTTAAGTGTAGTGACTGTGGAAAAACTTTCAATCAGAGCTCAAACCTCATTCAGCATCAGAGAATTCATACAGGAGAGAAACCCTATGAATGTAATGAATGCGGGAAGGCCTTCAGGTGGGGTGCTCATCTTGTTCAACATCGGAGGATTCATTCAGGAGAAAAGCCGTATGAGTGTAATGAATGTGGGAAGGCCTTTAGTCAAAGCTCATATCTAAGTCAGCATCTGAGAATTCACAGTGGAGAGAAACCTTTTATATGTAAAGGATGTGGGAAAGCTTACAGATGGAGTTCAGAGCTTATTAGACATCAGAGAATTCATGAGAACAAAGCAAGTATACCAAAGTGTACCAAAGGTGAGACAGTCTCCAGACAGACTTGTACTTTTGTCTAATCACTTAGAACAAGCACCCATAAAAATTATAAGCACCTTAAGGTTTTTCCTGTGTCTTTCTTGATTTAGGAAAAACTTCATATTACTGCAGATTTTATTACCTTATATGTTTTGATTAGGATTCCTTTGGCTATAAATGATAGCCAAATTGTGCTGCTTCTCCTGCATAAATTTGAACAACTTCCTGAGCTGCCCACTAATAAAATAAGGATAATAATACCTACTTCAGAAGAGTTTTAGCCAGGCATAGTGGCACACACCTGTAATCCCAGCACTCAGGAGGCTGAGGCAGAAGGAATGCTTTGAGTTTTAGGCCATCCTGAGCTGCATAGTAAGACCTTGTGTCCAAAAAGAGTTCTGTTCCTGGCACAGAGTAGCTGGTCAAACAGTGATCATTATATCCAAATTTTCTTGTGAAATATTTGGTCCTGTGTGTCTCATACCCATATTAGTCTGTGTCATTGAACAGGATCATCTACAAATGATCAAATAGGAGTTGGAAACCACACTAGTAAATTAAGCAGGGAAAGCTTAATTTAACCAGTCAAAAAGGGTTATATAATAAAGAAGGTAATTCAGTCACTAAAGAACAGAAATACTGGAACAGGGTACAGCTATTACTTGTAGGAGCAAGGGAAAATACTCAAGAAGAGCTTAGAAGCCCCCACCCTTCCACCCCAGCCCAAGACTGAACTATAGACCTCACTGGACAGAGTAGGGCTGTTGCAGGGGTGTGCTAGCACCAGCTTGCAAGAGCCAGTCTTGTACATCTATTCCCAAGGCTGCATCAAAATTATTAGCAAGAATATTCATACAGTAGAGATCAGTAAATGCAACAGAGCACATTTTTTTTTTCCATTTATGTATTTGGTATAGGGTCTCATTATGCAGCTTGGACTTATAGTGATTCTCTTGTTTTCAGCCTCCCCAGTGCAAGGACTACAGGTGTACATCACCATGCTTGGACTCAGTTGCTGGCTCAGCACATCCCAGGGATCAAACCCTGGTTCTTGTGCTTGCCAGAGCAGGTGCTTAGTCTGCTGAGCTATCTTGTTGGCCCTACAAAAAATTTTTGACCTCATTTAATTTTGTCAACACAATAGTGGCTGTAGCCCACTTGGGCTGAAGTGCAGCAGGCCAGGGCTAATGAGCAGGAAGCCACTAGCGTAGCTGCAGAGGAAACTCCTTGGAGGGTAGGTACTGCTGAATCACACACAAGAGTAGTAGGTGTGCTATAAGAGCAAGACAAACTTAAAGCAGTCCCTCTTTGCCTTGTCTTTTCAGTAGCCCTTACTGACAAAGCCTAAAACATTATACTACCTGGCAAAAGAAAAATATCACTTGGTTTTGCTTGATGATGAAGCAAAACAGATTTGGAAATAGGAGACAGTAAGTTGATCACTGGCCCCCATTTCAAGCTCCTTTCCACCTCAGGACTTCTATGCTTGTTCTCTACCCACTGCCTTTATGCTTTTTTCCTTGTAATTACATAAGTCACCTTTTATCTAGACCTAGAGAAGACTTTAACTAACATACAAGTTTATTTCTTTGTCACATAAACATCCAGAGGTAGCAGTGAGTCAGTAAACTGCAGCTTCAGGGTCAAGTCAGATCTAGCTCATGGCCTGTTTATGTAGGGCACACAGTGCTAAGAATGATTTTTGTATTTTTTAGGTATTTAAAAAAAGATGTGACAGACTTGTGGTCCAGAAAGCCTAAAATATTTACCATATGGCCTTGTACAGAAAAATGCCATGCTGTGGTCTAGTGGGCAGCTCAATTTATTTTCACCAAATAATTCAGGGACTATATACTTTATGACTTACTCTTCATTCCCCTATGCTAGGATATCTACCATACCCTCCAGCCCCCTAGAACTAGGGATCAAACCTAGGTCCTTTGCACTGAGCTCCATCCCCAACCTTTTAAAAAATTTTTGACAGAATCTGGCCAAATTGCCTAGGCTGAGCTCGAGCTTACAGTCCTTCTGCCTCAGCCTCCCAGAGTGCTGGGGTTATGTGTGCTGGTGCACCCTGCTTGGGCTAGTATGTTTTTGTGTGTTGAAGGTGGGTTGTTAACCATACCCATATTCCAACTTTCAGTAAAACTGAAACAATATTCACAAGAAAGTGATTTCCTTTTCAGTAAACATAGAATGTAACACAGTCCTTTGATGAGAAGTCAATAAGGCCACATCTATCTTCTAGAGAAGTTAGAAAACATTTCTAGCAAGATGGCCATTTGCCCAATTAAAACTGTTACTTTGAGCTGATGTGGTGGTGGCAAATTCCACTTGAGATTGAGGAAGGAGACTCACAAATTTGAGGCCAACCTGGATACATAGTTCAAGCCAAACCTAAACTACATGAGGCCCTGTCTCAAAAACAGCAACAATAAAACCCTATTACTGTAAGGAAGAAGAAAACAATTTGGAAGGCAATGTCCACTCTATGAGACGTCTTCACACTTCTGCAACCCAGTGGTGCTATTGATGAGGGAAGGAGAGTTCTGGTCCCAGAGGGGACAAGGCTGGATGAGGGGAAGCAGGATGGGGATAAGAGGTCACCAATGTGGATTAGAGTGCTGGCCTTAGTGGTCACTCCAGAAATAGTTCCAACTACACAGTTCTGTATTCAGCATTCTGAAGAGAGATAAAACCAGAAAAATACTCTGTAGGCAGAATACACTGACCTGAGTCATCTTTTGCCTTTGTTAAGTGCAAAAGAAGCTACTATGGCAAATGTCATGTGTGCTCAGTGTGGTTGTTTTAGGAACTAGTTCCTTACCCTTGGCAAACCCTACTTGTATAGTAATTGGGTCCTGTTTCTGTGTAAGTGCCTTGAGCACACATGCACTTTGCAGTTCATTCTGATAACAGGAGGTTCCCGGCCCTGCAGCTGAACAAATAAACTCATCTGCAAAAATTGCAGTCTTTTGTCCACAGCAAGAGACAAAAGGAGACAGAGACTATTCTTTATCTTGGAAACCTAATGGGGAACCTATGTATGCTTTGTAAATACTCTAATTTTTACAACAAATACACTGGTAAATAAATATACTTGTCTGGAGGAAGTGGTCACTCAAGTGCTTTATGGGCAGAGAGACAGATTGGAAAGATACGGACTCATCCTCTAACACAGAGCTTCTTGTCTGTTCAGCTACACACCTGGGAAAGCTCTCATCAAAGGGAAATGTAAGTACGAGTGAGGAACTTACATCCACGGAGAATTTTAGTCAATTCCTGATCCCATTTTCAGGGGTCATAAGCAAAGTCTTTTTATAATGAAACCAAAGTTATGGGATAAATGCAGTTAAAACAATTTTGTTTACATCTTAGTCCTTTCTGAGTACTTTATCATACCAATTTCTTTGATGCCACCAGAAAAATCTCATCTGTGGGAACAGGTAAGGGCCCTGACTACATAATGAAGATGTCTGTTGGAAAAAGCCACTGGCAAAAGAACTAGCAGGCTGAATGAAGTACTTTGAGCATTTAATTTAGTAGGATCCTTTCACTGTTCCATCTTCCTACTGCAGTTTTTCCTTGCACTGTGGTTCCTGGGATGTGGCCACTGAGTAGAATGCCTGCTTCAGAAATCGCCCTATGAAGACAGACTGAAGGGTTTAGAGATAAAGAGAGTTCAACAGTTCTGTCTTAAGTATCTTTGAGAAAAAAAAAAAAAAAAAGTTCCCAAATAACTATTCCAGGGCAAACCTCAAAAATATTTAAAGGAATTTAGAATGCCAGGGAGATAGCTCAGTAGAATAAGCGCTTGCCTGGCAAGTTCAGGGTCCTGAGTTCAATCCCTGGTACCACAAAAAAAAAAAAAAAAAAAAAAAAGGAATTTTGAAAAAATAAAAATAGCAAACACAAAATTTATAATGCCTAGCATACAATCAGAAATCAAAGGCTTGGGAAAAACCCTTCAGGATATTATGACCCACAGTAGGAAAAATTAGCAGAAACATCCAGAAATGGCACAGA